AGACTATTTCCCCATTTCTATCAGCAGATGCAACCTGATAGTAGTGCACCGGATTATAGTAGAGCTAAACAGTAGGAAAAACAACAGTGCAACTACTTTGCTTCTACTAACATTTATTTTTGTGAGCAGTTTTATTTCATCAAGGATAGAATTCATCTCCCTGAACTTCAGATTTGTATAGCTGAGCCATTCTCTTTAGGGCTCCATGATAGGAAAGAGATATTCCTCTCCTCATAGCCTAAAGTCTTTACTAAGTGAATTTGTCCATTTTGGACCAGCAGAATATATATACATAGACTGGCACATCTCTTCCTCCTCCAGGTTGCTAAGTCACATGTATGTTTGTGAAGACTTACAGACATTTTTTCTTTTCAATAACAATTTCTTGCCTGATGTTTCAGATTCTTATTGGAGGAAATATCTCTGGCAATACAGTATTGGAAGATGATTTCACCACACTGGACAGTAGAAAGTGGCTGCTCCATCCTGGTGGAACAAAGATGCCGGTCTGTGGATCTACTGGGGATGCTCTGGTGTTCATTGAGAAAGCCAGCACTCGCTATGTTGTCACCACTGACATTGTTGTCAATGAAGACTCTTTCTTGCAAATAGATTTTGCAGCATCCTGCTCTGTCACAGACTCCTGTTATGGTAATGACTTCTTAGTACTTTCTGCCCTTACTCTTCCTCTGCTGTAGAGGAAAGTTCACTTGTTTTCTGGTTCCATTATTCACTGCAACAATAACTGAGAAAAAAAAGAAGGCTGCATGCTTCTGTTAGAAATTGTAACATCAGCTTTTTTATTCTAAGTGTCTGAAGCCTAAGATAAACTGAAGTCTATTATTCCTTCCGAGCGTTTAAGTTGCAGTTCAATCCATTAAAGAAAAAGACTAACATCTGCCTTACTCAAATCCATTCACCAGTATATAACATTCACTGCCTGGAGTGGTGCTGGTGGTCCTAATAATAAGCAACTGGGTGTTCCCAGCATATGTTTCTTGCCTTGCGGTTTTGCATTTTTGGTGTAGGAAGTCTCAGTTCTGATCTCACTTGTACCTCTACATCTAAGAAATCATTTATAACAACATACATCTGACACTGCTATGGCAGCATCAACTGCAAACATTTGTATCTTCCGTATGAAATAATGAACGTGTATATAGATCTATATGTATCCATGTAGGAATGTGTGCATAGATATATGCACTTGTGTATATATGTATTTATATGTGTATATATATGTTTATGTGCACATAATGTGATTTTTAATTATGTAGCTTCCTTTTTTTCCATATGATGTCTACTGAGTGCAGAGCCAGCCTTTATACATGTATATACACATATATACATACAGATACACAAATAAATAAAAATGTGCTCTGTTCTCAATACACATCACATGGAAATTAAAAATTGGCTCATTATGTGATTTTTAAGGTGCACAAGAAATAGGTCTTTCTAGCTTTCGAATGCCTTTTTGTGCATCTTAAATTACATTCTTTTATGGTAGGTTTTGGAATATACAGGTTTTCTATGAGGAAGAGAATATAATAACCATCATGTGGTATGTGTTAATTCACTGAGTTGCTGACGATTCCTCTAGAATTCTGTATAAAAATGGGAAAAAATTTTACATGGAGTCCCCAAAGTGGTTTCTCTGATTTTGCAAATCTGAAGCTTCTCACATGCTTAACAATATATTTTTCTTTTGGTATTAAAAAGACTACAACATCCTAAGATCATCTCTGCTACGTTTAAAAGTGTTTTAGGCAGCTGAGCTATATACTGACAAAGAAACAATTCCTTTTTTTTTTTTTTGGTTTGTTTTTGTGTCGTTGTCTACAACACTTACCATTATCTTAACTTCATATTAAATTAGGCAGGACACTACCTAATCATGCTTCCAGTCATGATGAGTAAAGTGCCTCATTTTGGTGAGGGAGATTTAACACTAAAAACTCACCCTTGTTTCTATCCACTTGTCCTTGTATTTCTATAGCACTGTCTTCTGCGCTGAAACATCAAGTAGGACTGATTGGGTGATTAAGGGTAATTCCCTGTGCATGAGGGTAGAAGAAATGGGTCTGTAGTAATCAAAAAAAGATCACAGATTTATCACCCCTGTCACTGCAAGCCATGCTCCTTGTTCTACACAGCCAGAAGGCCTGGCAGCTGGAACATTTACTTCAAGTTACAGTTCTGTGCCTATTGTTATTTACTTTTTAATGGCTGCATGAAAGTTTAATCTGAAGTATTTAGTAAGCTTGACTAACCTTTTTTTCATAATAAAATTTATAAGCCATGGACATCAAAACAGTGAAATTGCTGACTTTCACTGAGGAATGAATACATTAGTTTAATGTGGCTAGGCTGTTTGAATGAAAACAAGCTCACTGACTAACAAACTCAAATTAAAATTGTTTATACTGGATAATGAAATGAGCTGGTCTGGAGGAAGGGTGGAAGAGTGACTAAACTGTCTTGAGACAGAGCCAAAAGTTTGAGTGTTGCTCTGCCTTAACAACAGTTACATCCCGAATCTCACCCTTCAGCCTGAAAAACAAAAAAAGTTGATGTTTTTGATGCTGTCACATCATTTTCTTGCATGCTACAGCTACAGAAATTGGCTTGCCTTAATCCTGGCAACTTAACAGATGATTTTGTCTTTGCACCTGTGGTCCCTTGAGGTAGGTGGCAGATGCAGAAGTGTGCTGCAGACTTCTCCTGAGCTATAGCTATACTTGCTGAGCAACATGTAGCATATTCTCTAGAACTGCCACCAAAGGAGGTGGCTTTGTGCTTGTGACACAAGTGTTTGAAAAGTTCTGAGTGGTTATTTTGTCAGTGTAGACTTGTGATGCTCTCTGAGGCTTGCACTTTATTGTAGAACTATGGATGTAAGTCTCCAAATTAAGCAATTAACCATCTTTCCACCCTTAGCTATTGAACTGGAATATTCAGTGGACCTTGGGCTCACCTGGCACCCAATTTTGAGAGACTGTCTTCCTACTAACGTGGAATGCAACAAGTACCATCTCCAGAGGATTCTCATTTCGGACACTTTCAACAAGTGGACCCGGGTTACTTTGCCTCTGCCTCCCTATACTAGGTATCTCTTCTGGTTTTCTGCAGAATAAATCTAAATGCATAACTAGCTAGTTATAACATCATGACACTTTATAGCATTAAAGCAATTGCATAATACCTTGCATTTCTGTTTGATGTATATATATAGGAACAAATAAGTATAAGTAAATGAAGCTTCATTCTGCTTTGCATAAAAATTGCAAAGCTCTTCTGTGTGCGTGTTTACTTTTCTTATTTATAGATAGGAAATTCTTCTTCTAGCAAGGGACAGAGGGAACACTATAAAGAATCACATGTTATCATCAGCCTTACTAAATTCTGGTTGTTTTGGTGGCTAATTGGACTGGCTGAATCCCCACTGCACCCTGTGCTTGCTGTTACTGTGTGTTTTAAATATAGCACTTTTCAGGCTGCTTGTTTTTCTGTGCATTCCTTGTATCCTTTGTGACTCTCTTAGCTTAGATGCTCTCTATTGTTTATACACATGACCTCCTTTTCCTTTTCCTACGTTCTTTTGTCTTTGAGGGAAGAAAAATTGTGGGATTTGTTGGGAGGCTGCAGTGAAAGGAGCTGTTTGGGACTGTCAGCACTATTGGGGGTGCTGCCATGTTTTCTACAATGCCCTGAAAACTGCTGGATTTCTGATTTGTTTGTCAAAAAGATCCATCTAGGGACAACTGGGTAGCTCACTGACATCCTTCTAGATGTGCTGTTTTGCAGTGACAGCTGTGACTGTCTCCCACACAGTGATACCTGATAAAGCCCAAAGTAAAGCCCTGCCAACACAGGTAGCGAGGGCGTCTGGCTCTCAGCACAATTTGATGCTTTGCTCCTCCTGCTGAGCCCAAGCTCCTCACACAGGCATAGGCTGAGCTAACTGCAGGCACAGAAGTACCATAGTGCAGGCAGAGCCTTGAGAAGGTTGTCGTGAAAGATGACAGCTAATGCACATGTGAGTTTGGAAACACAGACATTTATTTTTTAGCAATTGTACCCAGAGCACCTATACAGTTGCCACACATTTTGAAATTAGTAGTGGAAAAGTCCATGTTCTACCACTAATCATTTGGAGCATCTAGACTCTTCCCTACCTTCAGTGCAATTATGTCAAGTAATAGTGCTTTTTTAGGAATTGTTCCCAGTATTGATCTTCTCTGCTTCCTTTTTTGTACAGCTTCACTACATATTGTCTGTAAAATCCATTACCCCAAGAGTTCTTGTACAAAGACTGTAAATTTGCGTTCAGGACAGTCTTTCTGGAGTTGAATAGGATAAATAAGGGCTAGGGTTGATGTTCCAAACCTATTGAATTTGGACCTGAAAGGAAGCTACCACCTGAGATAAACTTAGATTTATGAATAACTGCGATTTTAAAACCAGAGAGTTTTTTGAGCGGTATATATCAAAAGAAGTCTGATGCCCTACTGAGGCAAAGATTGCCCTTCTGTCCAAACTGATAATTGTATTTGTTGGCTCAAGTAATACCATTTTCCAAAGATATTAAGATAGGTATTGCATGAGAGAGGTTGTTACAACCTTATCTCATAAGGAGAGATGTTGAGCTTTAGGATAAGGAACGGTGCAGCTAATAGGTCTTTCGGTCTAGATGCAGTATAATTTTTATGCTGCTTTATTATTTCAAGCTGTGTAATAGCAGGTGTGTGTCTCCAATTTTTTTGTACCTGTATGTTTTAGGGACTTGCAGGTTATGTAGTCAGTAGTTTAGCCTGGTGCTCACCACCCATGTTTGCATAGCTTTTTAAGGCTCCTGTACTCCAGACCACTATGTAACCTCTGGCCTGCAGAAAGCAATGAACACTTAAAATCAGAGCTGATTTTAAAATGCAAATACAGCTTCTCATAGGAGCATCAGCTCTATAAATTGTTAGTGAAGAACCAAACCTAAAGCAGGCAGTGTAAGATATAGGTGCTTATCTTTATTCTTAAAGTGCTTCCTCACAATTTTTACATTTCCTTTAAAAATGCTATTTGGTGGGCAGCTAGAGGGCTCACAGTAGATTTTTCTTTAGATAAACATGTTATTTATTCATCTCATGCAGCATATTCATAAAGAAATAATTCATGGAATAATGTTGACCTTATCATAAAAGGTCTGTTTTTACACTGAATAGTTTTGGGGGATTTTGCTGTTTATTTGTTTTGGTGTTTACAACAATTGTGATTTCTCTTTGAGTTGCAAAAGAAAACAGACTACAAGAAGTTCAATGCTGCCATCTAGTGCTGTACAGCAAAACAGGGACTACCTTGAATTTATAATGGTATTTTTGACAAGTTACAGAAATTCATCTACTCACAGCTCTTGACTCATGGTCTACACCTGCATGAGCTGAATAGCTCTTTGGCATCCCCTGACTGTTTTGGCTAGATTTTCATCATCTGTCTTGGGAGCTGAGACACTTAATTCACATATGGAGAGCTAAGCCCCTTTAATCAGTAAAGTGAAAATGATTTACTGAAAAGAGCCAGGATCACACCACAGATCATTTCTTTGCATTTCCAGTCAAACCCTGGGTGGAGGGGAGGGAAGAAACTGCAAAACGTGGATAACACTGCAAGCCCTGCATGGCCTCTCTTATCTGTCCCCTGTAGATTTATAATGGCAGCATCTTATCTAGGAGCCAACCCACTCTGTAGAGCTGCTCTTACCTAAGTGTAGTTGGGAGAATTCATAGAGAAAAAGTTGAGTTATTTTGCTGAGTTGGACCGAAGCAACAAAACTCTGGCTCACTGTGAAACCTGGAGGATTTGGAGGTTTCTGGCTTGATCCAGCTCCCAGCTATCCCTCAAGTTTGGATTTTTGCTGGGATATGGTTATGACTGAGCTTCCATTTGGATGTACCACCTTCTTCCTGCCCTCCTCTCCACTGCACCAACTATGGCCCACTGGCTTTGCTTTAACCAGTGATCCCTTTCCCACCTCCCACACTCTCAGCATGCTACCAAGCACTTGTGCTTTGTCCTGTTCTCAGAACTTGTGCCTCCTGTTCCAAGAAAGCACCCTCTTCTTGGAAGGACGTTGTCCATTGTCAGGAGTCAGCCCTGAGTTGTGCTGATACCAAGCAAGTCTTCCAAGAGCAGTCTAGCCTCAAGACTGACATTTCCTTTCAGTCAAAATAAAGATTAGCTTAGCTAGAAATAGACCTTTCTGTCTGTCTTTCTCTCCCAAGGTCTCAAGCCACTCGTTTCCGCTGGCACCAGCCCGCTCCTTTCGATAAGCAGCAAACGTGGGCAATCGACAACGTCTACATCGGGGACGGCTGCATAGACATGTGCAGTGGCCACGGGAAGTGCACCCAGGACAACTGTGTGTAAGTGTCATCTGTTCCCTGTCCTGCCCAGCACTGCAGCATTTCACTCCTCCTCTGCCATTTCAGTGAACTTCAGGAAAAACTGTGATATAGTTTTTCAAAGCAAGGTGGATTTTGCTGTTAAAGCTGAGCAGGGCACTGGGACCACTTGGGAACAGAAATAACAAGCAGAAGGGTAAGTGTGGGGGTTGGCTCTGCCAGACCTCTGCCTGTTCCTGCACCATGGCCAATGCAGACAGTCCTTTCCTAGGTGGCAAAGCATTGCCTCTGCTGCTGCCTCTGCTGCATCTTGATTCTTCTCCCACCAGGCAGGTAGAAGATATCTCTTGAGTTTGCACACCCCTCTAGGGACATACAGTCCTGCAGCTTCCCAGAAGTTGTCATCCTTATTCCCAGGGGGTTTCACACTATGTTCCTGTGCTCTCAGCTTGCTTCTGGGTGCAGAGAACCTGGGCTGGAAGTGGGACATGTCCACTAAACATGATATATGCCAGTTCTTCAGAAGGCCAGATTTTGCCTTTTGACTGGTGTTAACTTGATGGTCTGATGCATCTGCTCCATGGTAGGGTTTGCCAGGGGAGGCAGACTGGCTTAATCCTCAAACTATCTGCACAACAGTTGACATAGAATCCTGCAAAGCTAACAAACAACAATCAGATCTCCCCAGATTTGCCTGTCTTGGCAACAGCGAAATACCTTCCAGATGGACGTATTGCTTTTTTTTCCAGCCACAAATGGCAACAGAAATGGGAGAATGGTTGTATAATTGCACTGTGACTTTATTTGTTAAAAATATATTTCACTGTAGAATAGACATATTATTGTGTTCTCTATCCTGACAGCACTGAAGTACCAAGACGCAATCTCCGTGGTAAAATCTCATAGTAGCAGAACACATTTCCATGCTGTTATCCAGTCTTTGACACATTACAAGAATGTTTTTCAGAGGAGAAAAAAAGGGAGAACTATATAAAGAAACAACAAGAAAGCACCCATCCACCAACGTTTTACAGAAACTTTAACTGTAACATTAGCAGGACATTCTTAGGCTTGGCACATTCTCTTAAGTTTATCCATCCAAGCACAGTGAATTTTACTGATTTTACTGTGTTCAGCAGTGTACTCTGTATTACTAGTTTGAATGATACATAATACTAAGCCTTCCTAAAGTCATTTTTGTATCCTACTAACCACGAAGTGTGGCAGATGTTTGAAACCCCCACATACCAGTTGTGTGCTAGTAAATGATGCAGACAGCTTCTATGCGGAATAAGATGGCACCTTGAAGTGGAATAACGTGGCACTGATTAAACTGCTGTGCAGGGCCCTTGCCAGCTGATTTCTGCATTTGTTTTCCTCTGCAGCTGCGATGAGCACTGGGGCGGGCTGTACTGTGACGAGCCAGAGACTCCCCTTCCAACACAACTGAAAGACAACTTCAACCGCTCCCCGTCGAACCAGAACTGGCTGACGGTGAACGGGGGCAAACTGAGCACGGTCTGCGGGGCCGTCGCCTCCGGGATGGCTCTTCACTTCAGTGGGGTGTGTGTTCAGCATAGAGACCAGCTCACTCCATTTGACAGTATAAATGGGACTGATTTAAAAAGTTAACTAAATAGCAAGGTGTTAAAAAAAGCAGCATAACATATTAAATATATAAAATATTTTTTTAAATTATATTCTTTACCTAGCCGAAGGTCAAAGTCAGGCAGGTCCTACAGACTAGGGCCAGCCAGAAACACTCCAGTAAAGCTGATACCACGTTCCTCACTATGCTGCAGCCAGGAAAATGAGATACAATGTGTGTGCCTCCTGAAAGGAGCTATAGAGGGGCTGGAAGTGGAGCTGATAGGTTAAAGCACAGTGTAAGTATGTAGACATTTAATTTCACTCACTCAGCCTCCTCATAGCACTTAAAACTTCCAAAGACCAAAGTTTGATGTGGCTTCTAATCAGACCGCAGAGGTAAATTAATAACTAGCTATTTGCACTTGTATAACTTGCACATGGTCCTTGAAAATACAGAATCACAGAGTGGGTAAGGTTGGAAGGGACCACAGTGGGTCGTCTGGTCCAACCTCCCTGCTCAGGCAGGGTCGTTCTGGAGTACATTGCATCCATGTGTAGCCTCATCCTTCAGATGTTTCACAGTTGGGTGTTTTCAGAGTAACCTCACAGTAAAATTTCCTAAGTTAGCTGCATACGTAGGTGTATAACCCATACTGCTGCTGAATTATAATTGGCTAACAGATAACCTCGAGATTACAAAAATGACAAAATAGTATTTTAGAAACTTGTAAAATTTATGCTTGTAGATCTCTTTCATCAATTTTATAACTAGGTTCAAACTGATGAAAGTTTTCTAAAATAAACTAACAGAAGCACTAAATTTCCACTTCCTCCCAGTAGGACTAAGCAAGTGTCACTAACTAATAGACTAAGCAATGTGAAATTTATTGTGGAAATTGTGGGATTGTGGAAAACACACATATTAAAATTGCTTTGGCATTTCATGGTTTGCATAAATTGAGCCATTAGCACATAATCAGTGATTCATTAATTCTGCATGGAAAACCTTCTGATTTACACTGGAAGCATGGATTTTTGCAACTCTTGTATTCAGAAGAAAGGTGAACACAGTTATGGATACTGAATGCCATAAAGCTATAGGAATAAGTAGCAATATGTATGAGTACACAACAGGCATTTTTAAGATGGAATGTAACTGAACTTACATCTTCAGGGAAAAATATATATTGTTCTGTTGTAGCTTAACCTTTGACATAATTAATAAAATTTGTACAATTTTAGAATTTTTACAGCATGAGGTTACAATAATAGTGACTACATAGTCTAACACTTTTTATGAATGTAAGTTTGCCAGGCAGCATATTTTTTCCTTGCTTTTCAGGGCTGCAGCCGTATGTTAGTTACAGTGGATTTGAACCTCACCAGTGCAGAATTCATCCAGTTTTATTTCATGTATGGATGTCTGATAACTCCTAATAACCGCAACCAAGGAGTGCTGCTGGAGTATTCTGTGAACGGTGGAATCACCTGGAGCCTCTTAATGGAAATTTTCTATGATCAGTTCAGCAAGCCTGGGTTTGTAGATACCTCCTTTCTGACTATGTAATTTCCTTTACCACCTTAAGGTGGTCTTGAATGTTTCATAAGAACCTGTGGGGCTTATCACTGCTGTGGTTTGGATGTCAGATCCTTGCGAGTTCAGCTTGTCCAGTCCTGCAAGCGTTTATGAATGGCCTTGGCACATGTGCTGGAGCATCAGTATTTGTGCAGCTGCTAGGCCAGAAATACAAGGGTAGTTAGGAGCCTGTAGCAGCCTGGTAGGTTTGTAAATGGTTGCAGGAGGATAAATTAATAGCTACTGTAGAGATGCTTATCCTGTTCTTTAAGACGCTAACATTTGCAATCTAGTTTCTTACTGACAAGAGCAGTCAGTCATTGTTTGAACTAGTTAGAAAATGGTGTGTAGAGGAGAAACTGAATTTCTGCAGACATCCATCAAAAGGATGGACACACTCAAGCCCTATTTTCAGATATCTGTGAGATTTAAATCATGCATACATGTGAGGTGACATTTTCCTCACTGACTAATTATAAGGATTCATAGAAAATGGGAATGTGAGGGCCCCATTATTTGTTATTTCATTCGAACGCACCAAGAAACTGTTAGCACTTTAACTGGACATGAGATTTAAGTGTACTGTTGTCTACTGTTGTAATGGAAAAAAATAAAGTTGTACTGGAACATGGCTATTTGCTGAATAGCTCCAGATTGAAAATACTGATCTTAATTTTACTCCAGTGTTCTCTTTCTTTACGCTTCCCTTAATTAGGATCTTATGGTCCTACCCTGCTAGTCTAGACCATTGCATTTGGTCCCATAAGGACAGCTAGAGCAAGTGAGGTTGCTCAAACCATGCCAGTCTGGTTGCTGACACTTCCCACCTCTCTCTGAGCCCCTGTCCCAGGGATGACATTGGGAGTGATCAGAAAGATTTTTATTCCGGCATTTCCCATAGAAGAACATAGGCTAGATCATCCACTCTTTTCCTTCTCTTCCCAACTTCCATGTACTCTAAGAAACACGGGTAGTGGACCTGGTCAAAGCACCTGGCACAGAGCATCGAAACTGTTCTCCTTCTGTGGCTTCCCTACAACTAATTTCCACTTTGTATTTCAGCTTTGTGAACATCCTCCTTCCCTACGATGCCAAAACCATTGGGACACGGTTCCGCTGGTGGCAACCTAAACACGATGGGCTGGACCAGAACGACTGGGCCATCGACAACGTGCTGATTTCGGGCTCAGCCGACCAGAGGACAGTGATGCTGGACACCTTCAGCAGCGCTCCCCTGCCGCAGCACGAGCGCTCCCCCGCCGACGCAGGGCCCACCGGCAGGATCGCCTTTGACATGTTCATGGAGGACAAAACTACAGGTAAAGGTTCCACGTGGACCTGAGTTAAAGAGCAAGAAGCTTTTCAAATTTTCAAATCTTGCTGAGCCTCTTGAGTCTTTGTCTCACTGTGATGGCGATCACAGACAATCTCATCTATATAGAGGTCTGGTCTTTTGCTTTTAGTTCACAAAATGTGAAGTGGAAAGATGTAATGCAACTTTTCTTTTTTACAGCATGGATTTTAGAAGACTAATTTCTTTTCAAAGAAAGAAAAAATGATTAAAAAGTGTCAGGTTATTCTAAGCAGATTTCTTATCCTGAATATCTGCTTCCTATTTCCTAACTTTTTAAAATATTATATAGGGAAGTTAAGTTCCATTCTACAACTAAATTTTCTAGAAGATGTATTTCCATATGTTTACAAGGCTTAACAAGCACCAGTGCCAGGGTACACTTTGTGCAGACATGTAGGCAGTGCCTATTAAAAGGCTCTCCCAAAAAATGTTAAGTGCAACAGAAGTTTATGTTTTAAATAAATCTCAAATCCTTACTTCTTGAGCATTAAAAAAATAATGCTATAGTTCTTATACAAGAGAGTAATAAGAGGTGCTTTCAGCAATAAATGTGATAATTGTAATACCTATGTACCTGGGAAAGATGGGGTACTGACATTCTCAGGAGCAATACTAAATAATTCTCACGTAGGCTGAAGAACAAAGCCATGAATCACCTTTCGTGGTTAACACCACTCCCTGTGTTCTTTAATTTATGTTGTCACTGTATATTACTGGTGTTGCCATTTATTTTCAAGTGAATGAACACTGGTTATTCCATGATGATTGCTCAATCGAGAGATTTTGTGATTCTCCTGATGGTGTCATGATCTGCGGGAGCCATGACGGCAGAGAGGTCTATGCAGTTACCCACGACCTGACTCCTACAGAAGGCTGGATCATGCAGTTCAAGGTAATTCCAACCTGCACCCAAACTGCCCTTCACACACCTCTTTACCTAAATTAAGGAAATAGCCCAGTGATATAAGGAAGTTGCAAGACCCTTTGCACATCCCTCCATAAAGATGGTTCACCTAATCTGTGGCCTTCTCTGAAATATGCAAATCTTAGACTGTGTGGGAAGGGAGATGAACTTTATTTGTTATGTGGTACTGGGGTATAAGGCACAAGTGTCAAACTCTGGAAATCCAGAAATGTGATCTAATTAGAAGAAAACAAAATTCACACTATGGTGTCTCTTCTCAGTCTTGGAGATACTGAAGATGCAGATGACTGGTAGTGTACAGACATGTTATTGCCATCATTTCAAACAAAAATTCTGCAGTCAGTTTTCAGGTTCAAACACTTTTTTAAACTCCACCACCACGATTCATTCTAAATTATTGATGCTCTCTTCTTTGATAGGTTTCTGTTGGATGTAAAACCTCAGAAAAACTTGCACAAAATCAGGTCCACGTGCAGTATTCCACTGACTTTGGTGTTAGCTGGAGTTACTTAGTACCTCAGTGCTTACCAGCTGATCCAAAATGTTCTGGGAGTGTTTCACAGCCATCTGTCTTCTTTCCCACAAAAGGATGGAAAAGAGTAACTTACTCACTGCCTGAAAGCCTTGTGGGCAAGTAAGTATGAATTTTCTACTCATTTTGACTTGGATTGAATACCTGCCTAGAAACACAACAAGAGATACATCTGCTTATTCATTTTCTTTCAAGAAAACTGCAGACTAGCATTCATGTTCATTGCATTATGTATATGTATAAAATCAATTTCAACAGATATTTCCACTACTTGTGGAAGCTTGGAGGATAGTACAGTCCTAAGTATATTGTGTTTAATCACCTTTTTTCAGTTGAGCAAAGTTGATTTATACATATGTCTCTCTTCATTTCTTTATATCTAGTCCTGTGAGGTTTCGCTTCTACCAGAAATACTCAGATATGCAGTGGGCCATCGATAATTTCTATCTGGGCCCTGGTTGTCTGGAAAACTGTAGAGGTCATGGGGACTGCCTGAATGAGCAATGCATCTGTGACCCTGGGTATTCGGGTCCAAACTGCTACCTTACCCAGACACTGAAGGTAATTTTACTACATGTTTTAAAGAATTAATTTGGCATGTGTTTGGCTGAGAGAGAGAGGAGAGATTGATCCCACTGAAAATTTAGCTTTGATTCCTGTCAGCTTGAAGAGAATCAAATCCATTTTCAGCCCTTTCATCAGTTTTTAGCAAAATTATTACTGCATTATTCAAGAACAGGTTTGTTCCTTTGCAAATAACACTGTGATAAAAAGCTGTGATACAGTTCACTGTTCATGTTTAAATCATAATTATAGGATCTAAATCACCCTTGCACATATCATTATATCTGATCAAGACCTGTAGAAAGATTGTCTTTATCATGAAAGACCTTACTGAAGTAGGAAATACAGGAAAGTGGCATAAAATTAGAAAATTAATTCACGTGGCTGTTATTCATGTTAATCAATAACAAGCGAGTGAACTCTAGTTAGATATTATTGATTTAAAAGTTAAAATATATTTAAAATGTGACATGTTTAGAAAAGAATATGTAATGATCCCAAATTAGTTTTAAATGTTGTGTTTACCATCTCATTTTTTCTACATCAGGTAAGAACAGAATAGGTACATCTTCCACAGAAACAACAGGATAACAACAATTCTGTCTAAAGGGAATATAACTATTTAACTTTTAAGTTATCATTTGAATTATTATAACCTTCTATTTTTCAGCTGAAATACTAATACATGATCAAATATAATTGTCTGTTTGCAATTTTTAAATAGTAATGTATCCTTCACATTAAGGACATTAGGGATAAAATGCTAGCAATTTTAGGGGAATTCTACCACTATCTCCTTAAGGCCAGGATTTCACTTATGCACCTGGAGGTAAGTGGAAATCAGAAATATATTCTAGATGGTTTTCACTGTAAATATTTGTGCAGACAGTTGCATAAATGCACGTTCACAACAATAACCCTAAAATTTTATTTTAGGTTTTGCTGGGGAAAAAATATAGAATATTTTTTCTCCCATACATAGAGAAGAGCACCCTGTAGCCCCCTGCCATCAAAACCTTGCCACAAAAACCCAACACATCCACCCATTTTCACATGCCAATTTTAGTTTGCTGAATTACCTCCCAAGTATGTTAAAATCCAGCCCTAATATATTTTCACATTTAGCCAGTCATTTTAAGTGGGTAAATATTCAGCCAAAAGTGATTATATTCAGTCATCCTGAGAAAATTTACAGTGTTCATGAGCCCTTTAAATATGTTTAGATCAATTCCACCTGTGGTCATCAAAAAGACTTAAAATCTTAATTACCTGTGCATACCTTACTTACAGACTTTCCTGAAAGAGCGCTTTGACAATGAAGAAATCAAACCAGATTTATGGATGTCCTTAGAAGGTGGAAATACCTGTACCGAGTGTGGAATTCTCGCAGAAGACACAACTCTGTATTTTGGAGGTGCAACTGTGAGGCAGGCTGTCACTCAAGATCTGGACCTGCGGGGGGCAAAGTAGGTCATGTTTCCATGTCATTTTCCTGGAGAACTCTGTTAAACACTGACAAAGCAGCAGTAACATAGCTTGTAGCTCAGGGGATTCCTAGGTCACCACTAGCATAGACCTGAGGCAGACACTAATGAGATTATGATTCTCAAGACACTGATGCTTTCAGATAAGTCACAGAGAGCAAGGCTCACCCTTGCACAGCAGAAAGGGTCTCATGAATCAGCAACTCCTGTCCTGCAAAGAGGCAAAATACCACAGTCTCCTTGGCATCACCAGCTGTGTCTCTCACTCAGTTCAGAGCATAACCTCTGCTGGTTGTCTTCTCTTGAGTGCCCATACAAGACCCACTCCACTCCCATGCTGTAGAAAAGGATGACCTAACAGGAGAGCGATGGAATTATGTCACTTTAGACAAGCCAAGGAAGGACATGGCGTAGACAACTTCAGCAACATTTCCCTTGACTGTGTGGCTTTAATGAAGCCACACACTCTGACTTCTGTCATTCAAAAAGAGTTCACTGCATCATACAGCCTTTCAGGAAGGAAGGGGCCTCAGGGAGTCCCTAGTCCAACCTTACATTCAAAGGCAGGTAACACTGAATTCAGACCAGTTTGCTCAGGGCTTTTGTCCCATTAGGTCTGTAAAATCCTCCAAGAACAGAGATCCTGCAGTCTGTCTGGACAGCTTGTTCCAGTGCTTAGTTACCCTCAGAGTGATTTTTTTTTTCCTCTGGTAAATCCAGTTGGAACCTCCCATTTTCTCAATATATGACAGCTGTCCCCCAGTCCCAGCCATCTTCTCCAGGTTGAACCAGCCATGTCCCCTCAGCCTCTCCTCACAGGGCATGTGCTCCAGCCCCAACCATTCCAGTGTCCTTCGCTGACCTTGCCTCAGTCATCAACTTCTTTTATGTCCTTCATTGATATAAGGGCAACTTGTTAACACATGGTGAGCTCTCTTTCCAGCAGGACTCACAGGGAACTGCTAGCAAAGCAGCTCCCATCCAATCAGTCCCCAGCTGGTACATTTGCAAGGAGTTAGTCCCTCCCAGGGGTAGGTCTTTGCTGAATTCATTAAGTTCCCATGAGAATTACTAGGCAATGTTTTTGGAAACCTTTGTGGTACTTGCACAGTTACTTGCTTAAAAATGCTGGCATTTGGAACATTTTCAGCATGGCTCTGTGCAGATCTTTAACAGATGTAATCATATACATTAACTCTTAGGTTTCTACAGTACTGGGGGAGAATTGGGAGCGAGAACAACATGACAACGTGCCACAGACCAACTTGCAGAAAGGAGGGAGTGCTGCTAGACTATTCCATTGACGGAGGCAAGTACATCCTATGGTTTCAGCTAAGCTAAAGTCTTGTTCTGCATCCAAGCACCATGAATATCTGGGAAGTTGTCAGAGATCCAAAATAATAAGCTAATTTTTAATTGCAAAATTATTTTTGTCTGTGTAAAGTGTTTTCCCCTTCTAAAATTTCCATCTGTTGTTCAGGAGTTTTCTGTAATCCTCCTGCCTGATTTCAGTAATCAGTGGCTTGCAGCCAATTTGATTCCTTTATATGATTACAAGATTACTCTTGCAGTGAGAAACAGTTGCTAACTATCATTAGAAAGTTAAGATTTGCCTACCAGAAGACCATAGCTATTATTTTTCATTTCCTACTATCTTACTTAAATCTTTTAAAAAGTTCTACCCTATGCTTGTTCTTATTACTAAACCTGCACCTTTTCATTCCAGGGATATCCTGGACTTTGCTTCATGAGATGGATTACCAAAAATACATCTCAGTCAGGCACGACTACATCCTCCTCCCCGAACATGCCCTGACCAACACCACCCGCCTGCGCTGGTGGCAGCCGTTCACCATCAGCAACGGGATCGTGGTTCCAGGCCCTGACCGGGCACAGTGGGCTCTGGATAACATCCTGATCGGAGGAGCAGAGATCAACCCCAGCCAGCTGGTAGATACGTTTGATGATGGTAAGACAGGCTGCCACACCTTAGCTTATCTGTTGTCTGGATTATTTTACCTAAGTCCTGAGAGCTTGCAAGCAGACTTTCTTCCATTTCAACTCTGAAATTTTTTTATTTTGTAGGTTGATGCTCTTTATATGTTATTCTTCATGCTACTCGTAGGAGTGTGTAAATATATATACATATATATATATACACACACATGTATATTCAGATATGTATTTATGCACATATATACATACACATGCCTATAAGAAAGACAAAAATTTTTATTTCAGTCCAATTCATTTCATTTAAATTCCTGCTATTAAATTTTTATTTTAAAAGTACTATTATTTAAACATTTTAATTAGCTCTCTGGAGCTGATGTCTCTATTACGTCTGTTAGCTTAATGTGTGTCATTACAGATAACATAAATGTAGTGTCTATGTTACTAAAAGACTGTATCTAGTGATTCTGTGGATTCATTACTAAGCCTTGATGTTTACCAAGCTAATGCAGTAATTATATTTAACTCATCTTAATAGAAGGCACCTCTCATGAAGAAAACTGGAGCTTTTACCCTAATGCAGTCAGGACTGCAGGGTTCTGTGGAAATCCATCATTCCATCTCTACTGGCCAAACAAGAAGAAGGACAAAACACACAACATCCTGTCCTCCAGGGAGCTCATTATACAGCCAGGATACATGATGCAGTTTAAAGTAAGAAATGTTCTCTCTCTCCAAAGTAAAGTACACAATGAAAAGTCATCTACAGTGTCTCCAGAAATTATTCCCCTTCCAACTAGAATTCTCAACTGAATGAATAATTAATAGTGACTTTTTACTAGAAATTAAAGGAAAATCTGAAGTATAAGTAATGAGAATCAGAAAGGTTGCCTGAATGTAAAATGTCAAATTATTCTGACTGACTGTATGCTTTGGGGGTTAGTCACAGGGATTGGAAGTCTAATCCCTTTTATCTGAAATTACTGGATCATCAGATATAGTAGCAATTATTTTCTAAGATGAGAATAGACAGGATGCAGAATATGCCATTTTCCCCTAATCTGTGAATAAACAGAAAAGGCAAGGGAGTGTCATATGGAAAATGTGAGCGTGTTTAAGTAGAAGTACCCGTTCTATTTGCTTGTGTCATGGCAAATGACCCAAACAATCAGAGAAACATTTCTGAGTATTTTACTTTGATTTAAGGTGGGATTCTGCACTTGTTGCCAAAGGCAACAAGTAGTTGTTTTATAATTGCTTTCCATTCTCCAAGCACCTTGCCTTAAATAAGCCAGGAACTAATATGAAAGTAGGGTTATTAAAATAGTCATCCATTTTCTTGTTATGTTTTTTCCTTGTTCTTCTGTTTGACAAGATAGTTCTAGAATTTTCCATCTTCCACTGATCAATATTTTCATCTTTTCTCAACATTTGTTGCCTATTTTATATTGACTATCTAATATAAAACCTAAGGCACAGCTTTCTCCCCTCACACAGCATGCCACCTTCAAAGAAATTTTATAAAAGAGGACTCTCACATGCTTTTTACTACTGAGTGCCAAGACTCTGCCTCAAGCCACTTATTTTACCCAGTCTATCATCTTTTTTCTCTATTTTAAGGCCAAAATTATGATAACCCATTTAGTAGTTTGTATTACTAAGGTCTTATTGCTGAGTTTTTCTCTTCTGCTTCTCTCCCCCTTTTTCTGCACCAGTCACAGTAAAGATTGTATTTCTAAACTAAGAATTCAGCTCTAGCATGGCTTCTGTTTGGTTTTGAAATTTAGCTTTTTGTTATCTATTAGGTGCTATACATTGGGTACTGTAATCTTTCCACTTTAATATGATACATATATATCTATTGTTTTAAATATTCAGAATAACTCTGTTCTTAAATTGGATTGACTTGAAGTTTATGCCTACATGTTTATCATTATGAATTTTAAATTTCATAGGTGTTTCATTTTTGGAAATGCCAAGGAGCTACCGTATCTTTTTGTTTCAGTAACAATGTTTGTTTAGATATTTAATCTGGATTATAGGAATGTAATGTTAGGATTCTGTTTGGAGATAACAGTAGCAATTAAGTAAAATTCATTAAGTAAAAGCAGTATCTGAAGTACTGTGTCTTTTGTATTCTATCCACTTTTGATGGTTTTTTTTGTCCAAGATCTGTTAGCAATCTCTTTTATAGACCCCATAAAGAAAAAGAAAAAAAGGAGAATATAACTTGGTTATATATCACTTCAAATGTCTGCCTGACTTGTTATAGCAGTCAATTTTATTTGTGCTATAGATCGTGGTTGGCTGTGAGGCAAATTCTTGTGGGGACCTCCACTCAGTGATGCTGGAGTATACAAAGGATGCCAGGTAAATGACAGCAGAGTACACAGATCTAAAAAAAAATAGTATGATATTAAAACCCTAGAGAGCTTTTGTTTATTAAAGCAATTACTTTGCTATGCATGTTGTAACAGGATCTGAATAAAGCCTGTGTGCAAGCACTGGGCTTTGTGTACAGAACTCCCATAAATTCTCTTATAATTTATCCCAGATATTGACAGATTCATGGCATTGAGCTTGCAGTTACAGTCATGAGCATGCTCCTGTTCAAAATATACTCTCAGGAAACCACATTCACAAGAAACTTGTTTTGGTATGATACAGGACCAAGCTGTAATGAAGTGAGGGTTACTTAACTCCAAATGGGTCTTTAACTAGCAAACAGTTAACAACACTGTCTCCTGTGCTGTAATATAGCAGCACATTATAATTTGTAAAAACAAAGTTATATTCTGTGCTTAAATGACTGTGAATGAAAATATAGCAAATTCTATGGGGACTCTTCTGAACATTGTAAGACTTAAGGAGCAGACTCCCAAATAGATACTTCTGTCATGCAGCCCAGAGGAGCTGTATGTACCAAACTACGCTGTGAGTTCCACCACTCAAACCTGGTGCTGGTTGCACCAGTGCTTCAGCCTCTCACCTCTCATTAATTTGTGGCCCCAGAGCATGGAAACTATTGCTGACAATCTCTTGTATTTGTTTAGTAAGACAGGCAATGCCATGACCCTTTGAAATTACCTGTTTTCCTTTCATTATTCATTCAGTTGTTATAAAACTTCTTTTTTTTTTGTTTTGCTTCCTGCAGGACAGACTCATGGCAACTCGTCCAGACACACTGTCTTCCTTCCTCATCTAATAGCATTGGCTGCTCCCCATTTCAGTTCCATGAAGCTACCATCTATAACTCTGTCAACAGCTCCATGTGGAGAAGAATAACTATCCAGCTGCCTGACCATGTCTCATCCAGGTAGGTTACTGAAAAGTCAGCTCACTGTGGACCTATAAAATGTCAACTGTCTTGCTGGCACCATTTGCTTGGAACAACTGGTGAATTAAAAATTATTCTTTATTGCTGGATTTAGATCTGATACATAATTAATGTTTCTCAGGAAGCTTTTGCTTGATAGGTGTTGCTACTGCCAGTGATATAGTGGCCACCTATTCAGGGTGTGTCTTTCCAGTTATTGAAGCCACAGCCCCTTCATATGACATTTTCCATTAGATTTGTTGCTAGTGTATTAGAACATCACTGTACAGATGTGTTCGATTGCCAGATATAGTAACACAGTGTTTGGATTTTGATGTCCGCAGTGCGACTCAGTTCAGGTGGATTCAGAAGGGAGAAGAACTAGAGAAACAAAGCTGGGCAATTGATCACGTGTACATTGGGGAAGCGTGCCCTAAGCTCTGCAGTGGCCACGGATATTGCACCACTGGAGCCATTTGCATTTGTGACGAAGGATATCAAGGTTTAATTTCTTCGGTTTTTCTCTCTTGTACATCTACTGCAGTCTAATCTAGCTCAAAATTAAACAAAAAGACAAAGTCATATATCATGTCTAAATTCGTCACTGGAATGTTTAAGTAACAAATTCTAAATTAATAATTTGTCAGAGCTGCAAATAACAGCTTTTCCCTCCCCTTACTCTTTCTGGATTGAGTCAGTAATCTCTCCTGTCTGGCACTGTATGTAAAGTCCATCCAGCCTTCACTGAAGGCAGAACATGGCTACTTGCTTACTTGCCCTGTACTCCTTCCAAACATGCATCCCAGAGGATGTGCAAATGGGATCTAGATGTTGGTGACTGGCATCTGTAAGGGGCTCTGTTCCGTGCCCCATCAGGACAGAGTGTTCTCCTCTAATCCCTCAGTGCAGCTAAGCATATGCCTAATGGTACCTGAGTGCCCTTCGTAAACTATAAGTGCTTTGTGGGAGTGGAGCCAGTATTTAATGTCTTCCAGGAGAGTCTCATAGCTTTATAAGATCAGATCCTTTCCACGTTTTAGATGTAGTTGTTTTCAACCAGCAATTTGAGGTTTCTCTATTAGCATCAATGCAAAACAGGAGAACCATGCTAAAGTTATACTGCTGTAAAAAATACGACCCACAGCCTCAATTTTCTAAAAATGAATGCTGTATATCAATGTGCACATTATTAATGGATCTGTTGAAATATATTCAGGCTGTACTCACACTGTATATTGAGCCACAACCTTGAATGGAATTAAAATGAACTGTAGCTCAATTTTCTCAAGTCTTTTGTTTTTTGTGTGTTTTATAACTTCACTCTGTCATTTTTAGGTGATGACTGCTCTGGTTTTAGCCATGATCTGCCCAGTTATATTAAAGATAATTTTGAATCTGAAAGAGTTACTGAAATAAACTGGGAAACCATTCAGGGGGGAGTGATAGGGAATGGATGTGGACAGCTGGCACCCTACGCCCATGGAGATTCGCTCTATTTTAATGGATGTCAAATACGACAAGCTGTGACTAAGCCTCTGGATCTCACCCGAGCAAGGTAACAGTTTGAGCCTAAAAATCTTTTTTAGCAGTTCATGAGAAAGGAGGCTCTTCATACATATGCACAGCCACATGGATGGACTGACCTGGCTGTGCCGTGCAGTCAGATGTGGCTGGCAGAAAACATTAGGATTGGCAAAATGCTTCATTTTGAGAGTGAGAAGGAAGCAATGAGAGATGAAAAGGTCAGATGTTTTCATCATGCCCAACAGAGCACTGTCTAGTAAGCCAGCACAGACAATGAAGCTGTTGGCAAAGACTGGACACCAGACTGCCTGGACCAGTGCCTGATCTGATAAGACAAATCCCATGTTTGTATGTACCTCCACGACAGTTGTGACTAAAGATGCTATTTAGTAATTACAGGCTCATTTTCCCATTTCAGTTGTCAAATGGAATTATATTCACCTGGCAATGAACAGGACTATCTTTTTAATCTATTGAGCCTCTTTGGTCATGGAAAAACAAATGTAACCAGCCTGTGCTGGCTCTTAACAGAGTGACAGCTTTCAGGACTGGTTTATATTTAGTTGTCTAAAGCAAGATTAGAAGCAGGATGAACTGGCAAATGGGCCAGATGTAAATCAGATTCTTCTGTTCTTAAACACCCAGGTAGAATATGATATATCTTTTAAGCACTTTATTGTATTCAACCTTTATTTTTCCCTTTTAAACTTTTCATACATTCATTTGCATGTTTACAATTTTATCTGTCTCAGTTTTGTGGAGATACATTGCAAAATCGGATCAACTGCCTCCAACTGTATGGCAACATGTTATACATAGTAAACTATTACTTTGAAAGATGCGCTTTAAAGATGTGAGAACAGTTTATTTTGCATGCTAAAGTAATGATTCTTGAGAATGTTCTGTTTTAGTAAGGAAACTGCAATAAACCTGGAAATGCCATCATTCTTGTTTGAATACGTTTGCCTATTAAAAATACCTTTTCTCTCTGTGTTTTACAGCAAAATCATGTTTGTTTTGCAAATTGGAAGTATTTCACAAACAGACAGTTGCAATACCAATCTGAGTGATCCTAACACTGTAGACAAGGCAGTGCTCCTCCAATACAGTGTAAATAATGGAATTACATGGCAAGTAATTGCACAGCATCAGCCAAAGGACTTTATACAAGCCCAAAGAGTGTCTTATAATGTTCCCCTGTGAGTACCTAGTCTCATTTCATTACCTCTAAGTGCACAAGATACTTTTCTGCTAAGAAATAATCTATCTTTGCATCACTGTGCAAGAAAAAAGGTTGATGAGAGGATAAACAAAGAAAACTTAAGGGGAAGGCTGATTAAGAAATTCCAGCCTAGTATTTATCAACATACTTGAAAGAAAAACAGAAATAATACTTGTTTTGGAGTTATGAAGGGGGAAAATACTCCTTATCTGTGTGAATTTTTAACCATTAAATGCTTTGCATGTACAGTGTGTTGATATTCAGTGATGTAGAAACAATGATTTGACTTTGCTCTCAGTTCCTTTCGAGGGGTGGACAGGGATATGCAAAACACCGAAAGCCTGGATCTCTCACAGGCTCTTGCATTTGTGTTGACAGGGAGGCACGAATGAAAGGAGTCCTACTGCGCTGGTGGCAGCCCCGTCACAACGGGACAGGTCATGATCAGTGGGCTTTGGACCACGTAGAAGTCGTCCTGTGAGTATCAGCTTCACCTCATCCCACCCCATCTCAGAAAGCACTGAAATTTCTCCAGCATGGCACGAGTGTTAAGCTCAGTAAGAACCACTGTGGCCCAGGGAATCCTTTCTCAAAGGGAAACCTTTAAAAACCTGTCTTTCCTAATGCTCTGCCCTGACTTCAACAGTCAGTGGTTAAGATGGCCACAAAATAAGTGGCACAGCAGAGGTATGTGTTGTGCATCATGGAAAAATGCAGGAGGGAAAGTGGGGCTTTGTCACCACCAGGTATTGGTGTGGTCCTGTAATGCAGTACTAACTGCATTTAAAGCAGTTAAAAGTGCATTTAAGCAGTTAAAAATTATTGTACTGGGACATGGAAAGGATATTCCTGTTTAACGCTGTGCTGCCACATAAGGCTGATTTATATCCTTTCAAAGATACAAAAGATTCTTCTGTATTGTTCTTTGCACAAAGTAATGTTGTTGTGCCTCTTAAAAATTTGTGTTAGCAACTAATGCCTTATTCATTTCCTTTTTTTAGTAAGAAGGATACTGTTCAGAAACAGGGTTCACTATATCAGGTTCCTATGGTCCGAGCTCTATATTCATCCCCTTGTCAAGATTTTACCAAGTCTGCACCCTCCTGATTCTCCCATTCTTGAGATGGGTTTCGCTGGCAGCTAACCCGTTTTTCCTGTGTTGCATCACGAAGAGATGACCTGCTTTTTCTCTAACAATTTAGTTCCAGTAGAAGTGAGATGCTAGTGGCTTCCCGGGCAGGAACTCATCGCTGGCAGTGGTTGGCAGAGAGAGGCGTGCCTGCTCCATAGCTAGGTTCAAACATTCTTTTTATTGAACAATTTAAAAACCAGCAATGAAGAAATTAGGCTTAGATAACCTCCAGACGGTGTAATTATAACCATGAGGTTTCTGAATTAGCAGAGACACTGCAAGTAATGTTTTGTAACAGTAGCAAAGTGAATTATCTGATTGCTAGTTAGCCCTGTTCTCCTTTCCACCGAGAAGCACCAGCTTGCATGGCACTCATATCAACCCCAAACCAAACTGGTCCCAACACTGAGTAATTGTACACGCTCTGCTGCTTTTACACACCTTGCTGGGCTCTGCTTCCATAATATTTAAGCTTAAAACTTGAAGGAAAAAAGGAGAGGGATGGGTACGTTCCTGCTTTAGTTGGCTGTACGATGCTGCATCAGGAAAGATATCGAAGAGTATGAACCTGCAGGAGATTCACAGTGTTTAGAAAACCATGAAAAAGGGAACTGGTCATTCTGAAATATTACCCTGTCTTTCTCCCTTGCAATTTAAAAAAAAAAAACAACCAAACAAAACCAAAGCAAAAACAAACAAACAACCAAAACAAAACCAGAAAAAAATCATGTAAGAAAAAAAATAGACCATAATGTTACCAATCAACCTGAGCATTGAATTAGGGAGTATAAGTAGGAACAGAGCAGATCTTTAAAAAGTGATTTTTAAGCTGAAATATGGAGAATGTCCTAGACAATGAGATCTGCCAGGTTATAGACTAGACACACAAGTTGAGTGGTAACAACCAGTCACATGAGATACATTATACTAGAATGGACAGCAATAGAAATGCCCAAATGCTGTAGCAAGTAATCACACCTTGCCTAGAGAAGAAACCAGGTGGGCAGACAGCGTATACTCCCTTCTCTTATTTTGGTGCTATTAAAGAGCTTTAAGGCCAAAATATTAGGCTAGAGACAGAGAGTTTCCACCCTGTTCAAGTGACACCTTGTACAATCCACAGAGGAAGGCAGACCCAACTGGACAGACTTCTCCCTTACCAGGTCCTGTAAAACACAGTGCCACGACAGCATATTTCCCAAAGGCCAGAAGTGGAGTTCCAGTCCCTGCTCACTAAAACACGAGGCATGCTGCTCTCAGGCAGAGCAAAATTACATGCCATGGTTCATATGCTGGCATGTGCTCAGACCTGACAGGTGCCTTCAACCCCTCTGTTTTGCTTAAGTTCTATCTGCACCTTCTAATTCATCAAAATATTCTGTACGCTTCCTGAAATTTATTTGCAAGTAACCTGCCAAGGGTTCAATAAAGCCTTGGAAAGGTTTTCTGAAAGAAGGCACACTTCCTTGGCAATAGATACTCTCACCTGAGTTTTCCTTAGGTCTGCTGTTTCACTTGTCCACCTCACAGTAATCACTTTACCCCCAGCACTTCAGTTTCTTCACCTGTAAAATGATGAAGACACTGAGTCATCTCCCTTGAGTGCTTCCCAGCATCAGAAGTGAGCCTGGGTCAGTATCTGTTAGCACTTACCCTAGATGATCCTAAACACACCAGGATTCACAGCATGAATACTAGGGATAGGACTTAGCCTTAATTCTTAACATTCCTTCGTCTTCCAATGAAGGGTACAGAAACTCTGCCTGCTCCTGGGGAGAACAAGCCCCCTTGCCCAGGCAGCTCTCTGGCGAGAGGTGAGGAGTCATTGCCCACTGAGTGCTCTGCCCTCCCACCAGGATTGCCAGGGGAGAGCTCTGTGGGCAATACCCACCCCAGAGATCTCTGGCAGGGCTGCAGAGAGGCACGGCCTGAACTAAAACCATTCGCCAGGGTGCTGTAATTACCTCTTCCCATTAATTCTATAGGGAGAGTCAGTAGGCTTCTGCCTGGTTTATTCACCCCAAAGCTGGGATACTTTAGGAAACATCTGTGCCTCCTAAATTGGAAGTAATTCCCGTTGGAACTCTGACCTTGTCTCAGAAAGCCATGAACATCCCTGGATACAGAACCCGTTGATGGTCCATGTGTAACATGGTCTGTGTTCGGTCCTCTTACAACCCTGCACTCCATCACCCACCTGAAGGAGACTCCATACACCTCTCCAGGCACATCAAAATTATCCTCACTGGTCTTGGTTTAAGTACTAGATTTTCATGTTTGTGATCTGTGTGCCCATATTGATGCAGCAGGCAAGCCTCTAGCCTGTGAGGTGTTACAGCAAGGAGACAAACTATCCTAGGAGGTGTGGTTTGGACACAGAAAAATTCCTGGCTTTCTGCACATCTCATCTTGTGTTTTCTCCACTCCTCTGCGGGCTAAGAGGTCTGATTTTCCCAAATGCCCTAGGTGTTGGCTTGGCTGCCTACACCCCAGGTGCACACCTAGGTGCCGTAACAGCTTTTCCTCAGCCCACAAGCAAGTGATGCTCTCCTTGAGCAGACTAAGGGCTGGAGTAAGAGGGAAAAGCACCTGCCAGCAGGGAGAACTGGTCTGTAGGGATGCAGTGAAACCAAGGATTTTCTTGATTTCATTTCTCATCCAAAGCAGGGAATGTCCCTCCTCACAGTGCTCCGCCCAGGGACAAATGTGTGAATACCTGCTTTCATGGCCCAACTCTTCTCAGCAATCCAAAGATTTGAAATTAATTCTGTCACAGGCCCAGCTGTCAAGCTGTAGTGCAGATATAGCTTACAGCTGATGCACAGCCAGGGTCATGACACTTTGTTCAGTTCAATTGTTTTCTGAGTCCAGGGCCACCATCCTCTCACCAGTAAACATTTTCAAGATGCCATTTCTTTATTTCCTTTTTGCTCCCAAGGTAGCTTGCTGGGGGAGAAAAAATTAACCTGCAGATTATACACGCATGCAAAATACCTGGCAGTGATAAGAAAGGCCAAAGATGGATACTTTTGTATGTTACTTAAAATCATTCCACTTTTGAGCGAACTATTCGAATCACTCATTAAAAAGCAGTATCATTAAGACTGTGATGCAGCTGCAAATGGTGCTCAAATTGAGCACCTCTTTCAAACAGGTGAAACCCAATACCTGTGTTATACATTAAATTGATCTTGCCAGCTTAACCACTGTTGATGTCTGTCCTGTAGTGGGGAGAGGATATAAGTTGTCAAGTTATCCAGTCCCTTTTAAAGCTAGCGTTGATTTTTCCTCATTAGTGCAGCGCTTTTCCCCTCCATTTGTAAAGAAAGCTTTGGGCACAACTCTCACCATGTTCCATGTGGCTCTTCTTAGGATAAAAATTTATTTTATCCCAGGCTTAACAAAGAGTGGTTTTCTGTGCCCCCGTTCTTCGACCCTAAGAAGAGCCCACATCCAGCTCTGCATTTCTTTTGCACACTGTTTTTCTCTGGAAGCACAGCTCTCAGCCTGTCCACTGCACAAACACCTCGCACTTCTTTGCATGTACATTACAGAACTGCCATTTTTTTATGTATAGGGCAGGCCCTTATAGACATGTCATGAACTTAATTCTGGTCAAAGGTATTGAAAATAAAGGATAATGATAAGCTGAACACTAAGGGTCTGATGTTGCTTTCTTTGCACCTCAAAACTTGTTATGTGATGCAAAGGAATTTAAGATGTGCAAGGAATGCAAGAAATATTGTCCCCACTTACTATTTTATGGTTAACTGTGAGATAACAGAATGAATCTCTCCATAGCCATCACTCCATGCTCTTCATTGTCAAGATATTCTCATGTTTTTGGCACAAATGATTTAGTGAGAGCTTATGTTGCATTTGGTACAAAGAATGTTTATCCTTATTTTGCAACATTAAAATACAAATTATATATTCTACCTCTAACAACAACTGCTCATGTGGAAAAGCATTTTCATCTGCTTCATTTTTTTTTTAGTAGAAAGCAATGATTTGAAAAATGCATTTAAATTAAAGTATTGGCATATTTACAAAAAAGAACATAAATAGTTCAAACATTAGATAGCTATCTGAATATTCACAACATTTATGCCAAATTTAATATGACGTGGTTTGTGCTTCTATGACATTTCTATTATGTTTCTAAAAAGTGCATGCTGAATTTTATATAAAAATATAAACATTGATTTGAAATATCAGGAAATAATTTGTTCAATTTTTATTTTCAAAAGAGACGAAAAGTCCTATATTGCCTCTAAACCTCATCAGGGTTTTATGACTAATCACAGTGCTGCATGCATTGAAAGGCATTTTCTAACTTGTGTTGTATTTCATTGTTTGCTGTCATTGGTTTTACACTAGAATAAGGTAAGTACTTTCCCTGAACCAGTACCAAATGTATGTTTCTGTTACAGTTATAGCTCTTTCACAAAGTTTTTTCATTGATGGGTTGGTGAAAAATCATTTGTACTCTCTGACATGTGCCACATAGCTCTTGAGGGCCCTGATCCTGCAGCACTTCCTCAGTGAGCATGGGGGAAAGTCAAATTTAGCAGGAACTGTTAAGCAGTTCATGCCCTACCTCAGTGGTAATTTCACTAAGGCTGTGGTGGGAAGGACTTCTCCTTCCTCTGCTTCTGACAGGGTACATTGAGACCTGCCAATGGGGGGCACCCAGAGTGTTGCTTGGGTGACCAAGGGGCAAATCACACTTTTTCCTGTAATTACTGACCGCAGAGGTGAAGCCAAGCCAGACAGGGTATGTTGGTCATAGCCACGCATGCCCCTTAAACACAGAGCCAGTGTCTCCCAGGTAATTTTTCTGTTTCATGTAACTCAGCTGCTTTGTGCTGGTGCAGGTAATAGATACCACTAACCAGCATAGTTACTGAGCTCTGGGTTCAAATGTTAACCTCACCAAAGCCAAAGATGGCTGACTGATTGAGCCATCAGGACTTCAGTCAGAGCACAGCACTTTTCTCCTTTTAGTACCCTCCTAACAAAGCATTTCTAATTCAGTCTCAAAATTTACTCCAGGCCTAGTCCTGAGGGGCATGCTTTTGTTGTGTTCTGAAGTTTTGTTCCTGTTTTGTTTTATTATTCAAATATTTTTGTTTCCATTTCATTCCTGTTGCACCCTGTCAATTAAAAACACAGAAATAATGAATGACATTAGTATATACCAGGTTATGCACCACATATTTTGCATTCCATTTGGTTATGTTCCATTTTCATAAACTTGAAATTGCAAATTTGTAGTTCAAACTGTGCTTTAGGAAACAAGCAATAAACAGAATGCTCTATTAAAAACTAAAGATCCAGAGAGACTCCTTCTCATAAATTGCTTTATTGTTGGTATGTATTGAATATGCCCTAGACAGTTCTGGTTTTGTTCTTCTGTATTGGCTGCATATTGCTTTCATACAACTAGCACAACTCCAGTGACTTCACTGGAAAAATATTTAGGGTTTCCCACAAAAATTATCTTCCATGTATATTTTAATAGTGCACTCAAAACTGTCAAACAGATTATACAGCAGTTGCTCCTATTAATTTCTTTTTGCTGTGTGTTCCATCAGCAATATACAGATAGCTTTGGATCTGAACTTTTCTGATTGACTAATGGTTCAGTGAATGCACAGAAAAGGCAGAAGGCTCAGCAGATGCTGACCAGTCTATTACACACTCGCAAAGCAGCCTTCAAGTTGCCACTGATATCTGAACAAAAGTTCCCTCCAGAACCTCCATTATGGAAGGGGAGATATATTCCTAATGTAACTTGATGCTGCCCAGCACATTTTGGGTGCTCCAAACAGGAAAACAACAGCAAAAGTATGGTAAAACTTTTTATCAGTCTGTGATAATACAAATTAAATTTAGTACTAATAGTATTGAAAGCGTTTTTACATTCACCAAAGGCAAGAAATGCATAAGTACTTCTACAGACTATATTGTATAGCTATTCTTGTGATTTTATAAAGCACTTGATCTCTCTCATATAGTGCTTGTCTCCTACCAATATATAAAATTCATTCAGAAAAATAAAAAACATAGACCTACTCTGATTTTGTGGTGCAATAGAATACTATACTTTAATGCAGAGGGTGTACATATTTACCCATGGCAAGAGTGAAAATCATGCTATTTCTGTAGCAGGCATGAAATTTTTCTGTGGCATCCAACTAGTAGCTGGAAAGTCTGCCTCAGACATCAGTGAGGACAAGTATGAACTATGTCACTGCAAGTAAAAAAAAAATTAAGCATTTAGCTCCTGAGAATTTAGATTTCTCTTATTTTTCACACACTGCATTGCTCTGGTAGTCAGTGTAAGACATAACTATATGTTCTTTCTAATGTCTTGATCATCTTATAGCAGAACAAAATTATATACATAAAAAAATAAATATCTTTTAAGTTATTAGGTAACCATTTGTTCCTTTTCTCAATTCTCTCTTTTTCTTTCCTTTTTTTTTTTTTTCCTCTGTTCATTATTTTAAACATCCTCACCATAAGTTTAAGGCCAGATTCGAAAGGGTTAGTCATTTGAAGTGGAGGCCAGATGCACCTAGCATTGTCCAAAACCAGTCCTGAAAATCTCTGCTGAGCTGTTGCTGAACATGAGCAGACCAAAGGCAGGATAGAGATGGGGATATGTGAAGGCTCCTGGGCCGAGAACTGCAGCTCAGCACATGCCCCAGCTGTGCAAGTCTTGCCCAAGCTGAGGCTCTCACAGCCAAGCTCACTCCTAAATTAACCAGGTCCAGAAACGGCAATTTTTTCAGCCAAACACTTTGACAGGCTCTGTTTGGTCCCATGTACTGAGATCGAAGCTGCTCAGAGTTGCGCTGTGCTTTCTCCCGGGCCTATCTCCTGCATTTTGGCTGCAGAGAGGTGCTCCATCCTCACTCCACGGTTAGGATCTTTTCCTGAGAGGTTGGATGTGGCCTTGAAGGCCCTGTTTCTAACTAACCACCCACTTCCCAGGCAGTGGGAATTAAAGAGAAGGCAAAATTAAGACCTTCTTCAAGCCTCATGACCAATGGCAGCCACTTTCAGGAGCAGGTTTGGGGTCATGATTTCACTCCTGTCTTCCTCAGTGAGTTGCTTGGCCTTGGAGTGAGGGTGGTGTTCCACTGAGATCACTAAAGGAACAGAATGAAGACTGATCTTCAATGCTGCTTTGCACTGGATCTACCAAGTGGCATTAAAATTATATAAACTCACCACTGACACCTTCTCAAAAAAAGTCTTAGAAATCAGCACAAACCTTTCCTTTTTACCTGAAGTTAGGTGAAAGTCAGGACAAGTCAACTTCAAACATTAACCCCTCTCTCAGTTGCCAAACGCTCTAGAGCTCTGCCTTACTGTGAGAGTGCCAAAAGTTGTGCCAAGTGTAGATCTGTTTGCCTTCATTGTCACCAGGAGCTGTGACAGTTTCATTTTTGTATGTACGTTCCAGTGGCAAAAAATAATACAAAGATTAAAAATTGCAAAGCCTTGGAAGACTAGTCAGGAAGTGACTTGGATTTGCTTAGGGGTTTATAATCTAGATTTTGCTATGACAACTGTTATTCAGTTAAATCACTTGTGTTCAAGATTAGCTGCTGAAAAGTTGTAATTTTGTTAGATTGTTTTAGATTAAATTAGCATACTACAGCAAAAGCTATCTGGAGGATGGCCTTGTATTTTGCAAAACATACAATTACTCCTTTTTCCTAAGGGCCACATTCACTAGAAATAAATTTATGCACTAGGGAGGAAAGAATGACTGATTACATTACGAATATTTACTTCTTACTCACAGACAAAACTCACATGTGAAAACATGCCTTGCACCCACAAATGGGAGATTTGTTGACTGCAGGCTTTCACTTCACAGATCTGCCCTCTCATGATTCCTTCTTCCCTCAGTGGGAGAAGTAGAAACCTACATTAGCTGGGATGGGCCTTGTCCTCCAGGTAGGTCTTCCCTGAATTAGGCTGCAGACAGGCTGTCTCTCTTGCCTGGTCTCCTCCCAGACATGATGACGCTTAGTTCTCAGATCTTCCTTTAATTTTGGAAGAGGGTACATAGGGGAGGGAAATATGAATCTGCATAAAAGTGTTGTACTTCACTTCCTATTTGGTAAAAGTAGAAGATAATGAAGTGGAGTAAAGCTTTTCTTCTGTTCTCAAGATAAAGCAGTTAATCATTAAAGGCAGAAGGATGACTGGAGTACAAAACCACTGGAGATAAATTCTGTGAAGTGTGCACACAGCTTTAGTGAATCTGGCCCTAGGCAGCACAAGTTTGCATCAGCTGAAAGCTCTTAACCTTTCCCTAAGATAATGAATTGTAAATGAAAGCAAAGTGGGACAGATTCTCAATTGCCTGGTACCTTGCAAATATACAAAGGGTGTGCTTCACACCAGTTTGCACAGGCTTGAAAGGTCATGCAAGGACAAAGAAGAATCAGTCCCACTAGCTCACTGCTCCAAAAGAATTTAAAGTACATATTTTAATGTGTGACGCTCTTCTCTTCCTCCACCCTTTGATTTCAACAGCACTCGCAAACAAAATTACATGATGAATTTTTCACGGCAACATGGGCTCAGGCATTTCTACAACAGAAGACGAAGGTCACTTAGACGATATCCATGAAGAAACGAGAAATTTATTTTTTTTCCTCCCAACATGTGATGTGTTGCTTTCCATTCTTTAAATCTAGCACTGCGTCTGGTATCAGGACTTTTCTGCAGCTGGCTTGATGAATAACTGAAAGCCTTTCTCAAGACAGAGTGTACACCACTTTTTCGCACTGTGAACTAATGAGAAGTGACTTATTTTCTCATAGGTAAATGTTTTAATGTTGATGTGTCTGTGAAAATTGTGATCTGTTGTAATATCAGTTACAGTGGCAGTATTGGAAGTAAGCAACTAATTCTGTTTAACAGGAAAAAAAGTTTAAGCACAAAGACTTTTCAGATTTTATGTTTATAAAAACCTACATACTAAGTACAGAATTTAACATCCTTTGTCACATAGGTATTTATGTGCACTGTATTTCAGCTCTGTGTCATTTTATATGATTAAGTTATCATTGTTTGTCCTCTTTGTATTCTCTTCTACAACATGACACATTGGCACTGTATTTACTTGTTTTGTTGTTGTAATATTTTTGCTGCTGATTTTTGGGCTATTTACCTTCTTAAAAAATGTATTTTAAAAAATCATCAAAGTACCTAATCCGGAAGGTAATTGCAAGAGTAGTTGTAAAGGCGTTGATATCCTTTGGTCTTATTCTTTGATGTCTGTTGGTTAGCATTGTTTTGTGGATAAAAAAAGAATGCTTGACATTAAACTTTTTTCTACTAAGGAGTTGTGGATTAAGCCCCAAAAAGAATTTCCCAATTCCCTGTCTAAATGTAGTCAGTTCTCTGCAACTGATTTACTTACAGTAACTGCCATTTGGTGTCTGTAGTAATGAAGTGATTTGTAAACAGTGAACGTTCCATTGTATTCTCTTTGGTGTTTGTTTCTATTGCGGGTCATGTTTGTATCTTCTGATAAAGTTGTATCTACACCAGCAACGTTATAATGCCCCTATAGCCCTGTCTATTATCATAAATAAAATGCTTCACTTTATGGTGAACCAACCTAAAGATCCATGCTTCAATAAAGACAATGTCAACAAAGAATTCTGATGTTAGATTTTTCAAGCCATGTGAGCTTTACATGAAATCCTAAACCAAATTCTTCCACTCCATACTTAGATTCTAAAGCAAACATAAATGACAATTTTTAATATTTAGTACAACACACTTAACAGCACTTTGCAAATAACACAAACCAAGAGATCTTCCTAGTCCCACCTGTGGGCATAGCATGGTCCTTGGAACTGGTCCTGGTGCAAGGAACAAAATGGGACCACAGACCAATACACACTGCAACTTTATCTGCTCCAAAACGCAGTGTGTAAACCACTGTTTCCAAGCTCTGAGACTAGAGTACAGCACATAAGGAACCTGGCTCCAAACAGCCAAACCTGCCAATTGTTAGAATCATAAACTCGTTAAGGTTTGGAAAAGACCTTTAACACTGAGTTGAACTGTTAACCCAGCACTGCCAAGACTACCACTAAACCATGTCCCCAAGCACCACATCTACATGGCCTTTAAATACCTCCAGGGATGGTGATTCCACCACTTTACTGGACAGCCTGTGCCATGCTTGACAACCCTTTCAGTGACGAAATTTTTCCTAATATCCAATCTAAACCTCACCTGTCACATTTTGAGGCCATTTCTTCTTGTTCTACAGTTCCCTACTTGGGAGAAGAGACAGATCTCACTACAACCTCTTTTCAGGTAGTTGTAGAGACCAATAAGGACCCCCATGAAACTCCTTTTCTTCAGGATAAACAATCCCAGTTCCCTGAGCTTGTCACTTCCTCATCATACCTGCTATGCTCTTACATCATGTTTATCTGCTTAAGGCACCACAGTGGTCCAAACAATAATGGTGTTTGTTACACATTTATATTAAGCCACCTAGAACACATTTCATTTTTAAGAGCCTTTTGATCACAGGTACCAGAAAAAATGGAGGTCATTCAGTGACCAACTAGTCAACACCTTGGCTTGGTCAAAATTATGTGACAGACCTTTGGCTGACCTGGAAACTTACTGTAACAGTCTAGCCTCCTGCAGCTGCAAACTCACTGTACTGTTCTGGAGAACCATCTGTGTGCTTTCAATCCTTGAAGAGAGATAAAGGATCTATTCAGTGAAATAGCAGGAAGAAAAAAAACCATGAGGTTATTAAAGAATATAATAGCTTAATGTTTGAGCAAGTGGTTTTAAAATATTGTAATAAGAGTTTTGCCCATTGAACAAACAAAAATGCAAGATCGAAACACTCCTATTTTTTAAGATAATTTTATTTGTTCTAATATGTCAATAGAAGGGTGATAGTTCAATCTAAAATGCATGTGCAGCTAGTGTGTTGCCAGGGAATTAATTTATTTTAAAGACTTTAGATACAATGAGACACTTCACCTGACTTCTCTTACCAGGCAAGAGACCAGCATAATCAGAGAAGCTGCTTTCACAGTTGTATTTATTTCCTTTGAATAATGTATGTAATCATGACTATAGTGGAATCCCACGAGGCATTTCACCCAAACTCACTACAAACTCTGCACCAGCTTTTCTCTTCCTCGCTGGTAGATTCACAAGTGATATTGTCATTTGCCCTTTCCAGATTCCAGGAAGTTCTTTCATACACTTTTTCCATTCCTACAACACCCCCTGTAGCATACACATACAGTATTCTCAGTAAATGTGCTTCTTCGATTTTTCCTCACATATGACTGAAAACAATGAGTCATCTGACATTAAATAGTTATTAAAATATCAAGGGTGACACAACACCTAATCAATGGCAATAAAACAGTGGCACTGCTATAAAATGTACTAATAAGCTTATCTACTGGTGTAAAACTTTGGCAGGCATATGGAAATTGACTTTTAGTACTTTTAGTGTGCCTTATAGTTTTCCTCATTTCTCCCAGCAGCTCACTAATCCATGTTCCAGTAGAATAAGGAGACCATAAGAGAAATTAAATAAAAATACATGAAAATGAAGCTCTGACCCACTGGAGTTCCTGGAATAACCAAAACCCGAAGTTCTCATAATATTGCCTAAATATTTTTCTCTTTAGCTTGCTTCAGCCAAAGATGATAAGGAGGAGTATTTCTGAAGGACCAAATCAGGCTTTACATGAACTGGATGATTTAGAGAAATGGGTAGAAATTAAATAACACAGCAAATGCACTCAATGACAAGACATTGTCAAAGAGCAAAGTATCAGCACACAAACTGGGTAAATATCAGATTAGGCAACAAAACTATAGAAGGAGAACCAACAGCATAAAGCGGTTTTTAAAAATGCCATTTTGCATTGCATAAGTAGAAATGTTTATGGTAAAACACAGTAAATATAAATACGGCTGCCACTACTGTAAAGTAGACAGTTGTCAGCTGTTGAGCTCTTCGTTTAAATACAGATGTAAACAAACTGGAGAGACTGCAGAGTACAGCAGCAGAAACAAGGCCCTTGAACCCATGAGCTTCCAAGTAGAGAGAGTTGTTTAGTCTAGAAAGGAAAAACATTCGGAAAGAGACATGACAACAGCCATAAACATGGATCTGTGTTTTATTTATTTGCTAACTCTTCAGGGTAAATGTTATTGGGTGAAAATGCTGCAACAGCAACACCTCATCATTTATCCAGTGGGCAGTGGGGTTTGGTTATTATCCAAGCAGGAAGCCGTTATGAGGCCCCAGATAAACCCTCCTCAGTTCAGCTCCGTAGTGCAGTTTAACTAAACATAACTCAACACTGGAGGAATAGGAACAAGCCAGCTGTTGAGGGGAGCTGCCTTCATCCTGAGCTGGTGAGGGAGCCTCAGAACCGAATGAGGTCAGCAAAAGGACTTGCCTATGTTAAGCATGTCCCTAAAGAGCTCTTCAAGGGCTGTTAGCAATCAGGAGCAGCTGAGGCCATGCAACCACTTGCAGTACACCTCTGCAGGAGCAGACAGAGCACCCACCACTTACAGATGGTGGATCTGCTGCTGGAAGAAAAGACCATGAGGTATGAGGCTGCCAGCATACATACAGGTGACAAGTGGACGAACAGCCTAGTGTTCTCCTCTGTTACCGCTGTTTTCTGCCTGTTGCTTTTTCTTCCCCACGTTATTTTGGTTCAGCTCAAGGGACTGAGCTGGCAGTAAGTCTAAGGACTTAGGCCTGTGTGTGGCTAATTCCACAGAGCCTCATGGGGAAAGTTTTATCTGGCATGCAGCAAGGTGGGGCCCAGTAAAAACACTATTCCAGGAATGGAGAAATACTTTACTGTAATGGAATATGCTGATAAATGCTGGGTTCATAGTTTGAATCTGTATTTCTTGTAAAAGAAAGCAAGTTTTGTAAGCTTCTTTTTTAAAAAAGAAGAGGATGTGATTGTGCTTTTGAGCTCTGCTGCTCGGGGAGATCTATGGAAGTTAGTGGCAAAGACGCTCTTTCAGAGGTCTTGGCTGTTTCTCTAATTGCCTCTGGGCCAAAGGCAGAACTCTGGGAGGTACTGGGTAGTCACAGGTGTCAGGGCTACTTCTGCACTAAGATGATATTGCTGATACCCTCAGGTCTCTCTTTCCATGCACACTGACCATGCAGATACACTCCAGCCCTCTGCTGATTCCCTAGAGCTCTAAGTGGGCTAGAAACAGCAGGTGCAAAGCCATTCAACTGGTTTACGCTCACAAATGGACACCCAGCTTAGCTGATTAAAAATCTCACCCTTCTCAAGGAATATCTTAAAATTGTTTGAGTTCAGACACTTTCAAGGAATTTTGCATGGCAAACAGGAAAGTGTACTAATGCTCGGGCCTCTGCTAGAATAACTGTGTTATTATGGACAATAACAAAGCTTGACATGACTAATGTGCCTGTACGGGATGTGGGCAGTAACTAATTAACAGCAGCACTTTGAGAACCAAGCCTACTGCCACTGAAATCAGTGGGCAAATCCCTGTAAATCCAAACATGTTTCACTTCATATGGAGATGTTCACTGCAACTTTACTAATTCAACTTGTTTGCCTGTCCTAGGACCTGTGTAAGACTCCATGGTCAAATATATACAGGGTTTTTTCTGCCTTAGGAAGTTGTCTCATTCTTAGAAGAACTATGAATGTAGTTAGGACACAATGAATGACCCAGTTGATGAAGCCAATCTGACCCAGTTTACTAATTTGGGATGTTCCATATGGGATGTGTACACCAATGACACAACCAGGAACGTCAGAAGTCTCCGCACTCCTCAGCCCCTCAGCCATCTCCCCTGTCCACAGTCGCTGTCAGTGGCTGTTGGGGGAAGGTGAGAACTAAACAGCCCAACACTGGAGCTCTAAGCAGCCCTGAGCGCTGGATCTGGCCTTTGGCAGCACCTCACAGCTTTCCTTACACTGCTAGAGAGCAGTGGCTCCTGCTGCTCCATTCCCTGTGAGCCAGATGAGCCCTCAAAGCTCACACTGAGCCCTCTGTCATCACACAGCTCCAGTGGCGTGCGTGGGCCTTTAACATTCCACAATTATCCTCCACAGGAGTGTTTTTAGTCACTTCAATTGTCCAGATCATTTATTCTGTATTAACTTTCCCTCCCTTTTCTTGTTTTGACCAAAAATCTTCTTTTCAACTTGTTGCTACTGAGTTCAGCACCATATTAATCCCTGCCCTTCTCTCACAGCTGAAGAACCGCAGCATCTTTTACTATTTTAGACAATGCTGGAAAGAAGCAATAAAAAGAACTATGAACCTTCAAGTGCGTCATGCTAAAATGCACACAAGAAAATAAAACCAGCCTGTGTTTAAATGCGACCATTGACACAATTAGTGTAACATAATCCTCAGTGTGGATTACTGGAGCATTCAAAATTATTTATACCTGCATGGATTTTTCCAGCAGGAAATCTGCTATTCCCATGTTTGTTTCAGGCTTTCTCCTCTCCCTCCTTTTTGTGCAGGGTGTATAAACAAGTCTGTCGGTGGTATGTTACTGCAATATATGTTTTACTGGCAATAAAGCATTTCAGAATTTCTGTACCTCAGTGGTGAGGCCACACCTTCATAAGTTGATTACACCTGCATTCTAACACAAGCTACAGATGTCCAAGTTTAGAAAAAAATAGATTGTGGATAAATAACTATGAATCAAAAAAGATTTTTTCCCAAAGGATCTCCACTTACCCAGTTCTGTACAACAATAGCATCCAATATCATTCCATGTGACGTCTGATGTATGCAGGATTTTGTAACATCTCACTCTGAAATTGTTCATTAAAATGCCTTTCTGTTACAGCCTATTTTGGATAAACAAACCCCCTCTTTAAAATACAACAAGCACCACAGTGCACCTCAGCACCACACCCACACAAAACCAAACAAGTCATGTCCTGCACATTGCTCACTGACAGCCAGAGCCCACCCCATACTTCCCAGGTGTACTTTTATACTAAAATCACAAACAAATTATATTTATACTATATATTTCATGCATGTCTGCACCTATCTGAGGTTCAGTAAGGCGAAGGGCCAGGTCCTGCACTTGAGTCGCAGCAACCCCATGCAGCACTACAGGCTGGGAGAGGAGTGGCTCAAGAGCTGTTTGCTGGAAAGGGACTTGGGGATGCTGGTTGACAGTGGCTGTACATGAGCCAGCAGTGCATCTAGGTGACCAAGGAGGCCATTTGCACCTTGGCCTGTATCAATAACAGTGTGGCCAGCAGGAGCAGGCAGTGATCATCAATCATTCCCCTGTACTCAGCACTGGTAAGGCTGCACGTCAAGTGCTGTGTTTGGTTCAGGGCCCCTCATTTTAAAAAGGACATTGAGGTGCTGGAGCGTGTCCAGTAAAGGGCAACAAGGCTCATGAAAGGTTTAGGAACATCTGTTATGGAGAGCAGCTGAGAGAGCTGGGGTTGTTTAATCTCCAGGAGGCTCAGGGGGAACCTACAACTCCCCGAAAGGAGGTTGTGGTAAAGTGGGGGCCGGTCTCTTCCACTATGGCTGCAGTGAGAGGACCAAAGGAAACGGCCTTAAGCTGAGACAGGGGAGATTCAAATTAGGTATTAGAAAAAAAATTGTCACTGTAAGGGTGGGCAGGCATTGGAATAGGCTGCCCAGGGATGTGGTGGAGTCACTATCCCTGGAGGTGTTCAAGAGCTGTCTGGATCTCGTGCTGGGTGACACGGATTAGTGGTTTACTGGTTACAGAGGTGGTGCTGGGTGGACTTGATGATCATAAAGGTCTCTTCCAATTTTGATTCTACGACTCCACGCCCCAAAGAGGGCCCGGGGATGACACCGCCGAAGACACCGGGGGAGCGGGCGGAGCAGCGCCCGCGCAGGCCGCGCCGCCGGGAGCGCGCACGGCCCCGCGGCACCCTGGGACTCGTAGGCCGCGGCGGGGACGCGCCCGGCGGGGGCTGCAGGGGGGACTACGAGTCCCAGGTGCGCCCGCGGCCGCGGGGCGGGAGGAGGTGGAGGCCGGTGCCCGCCTGCACCCCTGGGCTCCTCACCTTGGAGCCGAGCGGCAGCTGGAGGAGCCGGGCTGGAGAGAGGCGGCGCCGGGAGGTGAGCGGAGCGCGGCGTGCGGGGACGGTGGTGGAGGGGTCCCTCCTGAGGGGATCCCACTCCCCCTGAGCGAGTCTCACTCCCCCATGAGCGGATCCGTCTCCCCCTCAGCGGATCCGTCTCCCCCTCAGCGGGTCTCTGCTGAGGGACCGTGAGGAGCGTCGGGCTGTCCCAGTGCCTGCGGCTCCAGCTCGGTCACCTCGGGGCGGGGGTGGCCTGGGGGTCTTGTCCCCACTCCTTTCGCCCCCTCACCCCAGCCGGCCCCGGGAGCCGCCGGAGCCCCGCGGGTGGCGGGAGCGGTGTAAGGGGCGCCGGGAGCGGTGTTAGGGGCGCCGAGAGCGGTGTCAGGGGCGCCGGGAGCGGTGTCAGGGGCGCCGGGAGCGGTGTCAGGGGCGCCGGGAGCGGTGTTAGGGGCGCCGGGGCAGCCCGGGCCGATCCGCGCCCCCTCAGCGCGGGGGCTCCCGGGCAGCTCCCGCGCCGCTGTAACTGTAGAACACGCGGAGCACCAAAGAGGAAACCAGGGGGAGGTTGAGAGATCAGTCATTTCCTCGTGGGGTGGCCGCGACCCTCCGGCTTCGCGCTGCGGGCTGTCGCTTTGGATCGGAGCGACGACTCTCCCGAGAAGTCTTGTAATAACAAGAAATAACTGCTTTGCACTTTATTGCACCAGCTTCAACCCAAAGATCTTCAAAACCTTTATCAAACCTCGATTGAACTATTCCCTCCATCACACTCCCCCCACCCCCGGCCCGCCTCCTGCGCCTCCAGTTTTCAGTCACAGAACAAGATTTTGCCTTTCCCTATGTCAGTGTTTTTCAAGTTCTGGTTCGCGAACTGTGGGAACACTTTGAACTCCTTACAAGGGATCAGTGAAGGCAACTAGGAAAAGCCAGCCAGAAAAGTAAGTAGGCTTAAAATCTGCTGTGTTCATGCCCATGCTGCTATTGCAAAACTTTGAATTGTCTGAATATTGAAATATGGTTGAAAGCTGTTCTCAGGATGCGTTGAAATTTCAGATAAGCCAGGCAGCTGCAAGCATTTAGAGGTAGTCCAGTAGTAAGGAAAAGGAAAAAACATTAGATTACTGCAATTATTTCTGCTCATGATTCAGCAGAATATACATTCATAATTTTTCACATCTATTTCAGTAACACAATTGTACAGCATTGGATGTGAATGACTGACAGCAAGGGTGTGGGCACTGGAATTTTTTTGCCTGAAGGTTTCACAAAGGAAGACTAAAATCTACAAACAGACATTTAAAATGTCTTTTACTACATGTGCAGTAAAAGGTATTTTGGGTTAACAGGTGTCTTGATTTATATTACAGAATTTTCATAAGTAAGATGGTGCTTTATGAACCACTGTAGAAATAGAAAAACTAAGGTAATTACTGTACAGTTTCAGAAGCAAGCACATGCAGGTGACTTGCACTGAACTAACCCTGTGGGGATCAGCTCTTACCTTCCTCAAGGGGTAGTAATCACACTTCAAAATACTTGGTTTATGGCAGTGCTAAGCCTTCCTAAGACACAATAGACATTCCAGTTCTGCATTTAGCAGTATTTCCGAAGTGTTTTATCAGTTGTCTTGCACTGTATTTGTGAAACATCCCTGAAATAGGATGTGGAAAAGGTATAGGGAGAGATGGAGTTTCACACATGCAAAGCTGCTGTTGGTAGCTGATAAAGCATATTCATTTGCAATAGCATTTACCTCCTTCTACAGGCTTGAGGATAATTGATTCAGCAGTCTCGTGCTGAAAGCTTCATGACATTTAAAAGTATATTTGTGAGGGGAGTTGGGACAATATTGGGTTATATCTGGAGTTAGATTTCACTGAAGGAAAGCCCTTAGTCCAGTAAGAAAAAAACCCTGCTGCTACTTCCACGCCTGGATTCTGATCACTAAACTGTATTTTCTCTGTTTGAGTAATCTGTATGGGGCTGATATGGCTTTTAATTTATACTGTAGAAACTCTGGGCAGGGTAACAGTTTTTTTAAAGGCTGATATAATTAAAAAAAGTGAAGATGACTGAACATGAACCAGGTGAGAGGCCTAGAAAATGGTGACATTTTTAGCCTCTGCCACAAACTGAGCCCTGTTTTCTAAGCTGAGTGCTTACTGAAATGCTCTGTTGGGTTCAGCCATCAGCTCTTAAAACTTGAAGCACTAAACAGCCACTGAGTCTTGCCTTTTGTTTGTAATTTCTAGTCCATTACTGTTGTTTGAATCAGTTTTTCATAGGTACAGTAGTCTGTCCACCAGAATGCGATGCTTTTAGAACTTAAATATTCCAAAACCACATGGACAGTTGGTTATTATTTAATGTGATGCTAAAATCATGCAGTACTGAGGCACAGGTCTAGCACATGGCTGCAGTACAGTTGTTCTTTTGCTATCAACTTGATAAAGAACTGAACATGTGTTTATCGCTCTATTATTGTAGTATAGGCAGACCATTATTGTCTTAAACTACTATTTATTTGGGCTGTAACTGCAGCCTGTGTAAATGTGACCAAGGCTTCTGTGCAGCCAGTGAATTGCCCAGAGAAGCACAGAGTCCTTTGAGCTCTGCTGCCTCTCTTGGTCTGTATCTGATGAACTGCTGACTGCTATTTTTTTTCTATTCTATCACTGATATAATTTTTCCATAAGAACTCATTTTCTGAGTGATGTGTTTTTCTGTCTGGATCATTTGGTAGATTTGCAGCTTTTAGCAGAAGACGACCATGCTGAAGCTAAAACCCTCGAGTTCTAATTAGCCTATTGAGTTCCCAGTTAAGTTTAATGAATTAAACACCTGCCTTATTCTGATGAGTTTCTTTCCCTAGATCTGTCAGCCAGCAGAATGTTGTCTTGCTAGATCCTATCTCCAGATAGTCCTTCTTGATTGTTTTTCTAATATGGCTACAAGATGTGCCATTGCTGTTATTTTATAACTAGTTATCTGTAGCTTTTTGCTGCTCAGGAGTATAAGCAGCAGTGAAGTGCAGATCTTGTAGTTATTTTCCATGTGCCCAGGTAGTGAGAAAGCTATAGACAAAGAGACAATATCAGGTATTTCCCTGGATCTGAAGATATGGCTGTAAGTTTGTGCAGGCAGTCAAATGAGTTTTGTAAGTCAGTTGCCTTTATAGGATTTAGATTTTATTTATGGTTGTAAGAGTACACATGAATCACTGGCCTATGCAGAAATTTGGAGTAGTGTTGTCAAAGACTTGCATTATGTATTTCTATTATTTTGTGGAAGACCTCCCATGTGACAAACAATAGTGTGATTGCCTTCTTGGAGGTTTTTTACAGTGAATCTGTATTTTTACTACCTGGGTGGAATCTTTTTCTCTAGCCTTCACTGAAAACTTCCCAGTTTTGCACAAGTGGTGGATCGAGTTTTACTGCTCTGCTTTGGCTGTTGCATACCATTTTGTATATCCAGTGTTGTTTGTGTTCTTGTGTTGCTGAGAGTTACTGGGGTTTTTTTTAGCTAATTAATAGATTATAATCTATTAATTGAAAACCTGAGATTCTGACACATAGACTGGGCTAGATCTAAGGTCAAATTGCACATTTTCATTTATTTTATGGAAATCAGGTTCTGAGGCAGGGATGGTACTTTTGAGAACTCCTCAAAAATACTCTCATAACTAACCTCTCATCCAAGGTCAGATGGGGCTTTGTGCAACCTGGTCTAGTGGAAGATCTCCTTGCCCATGGCAGAGGGGTTAGAACTGGATAATCTTTAAGGTCCCTTCCAAATCAAGTCATTCTATGATTCTAAAGCACAGACAGAATTTTTCAATGCAAATAAAAGATTGTGGTGTTTGTTTAAAATGTCCTTGTTGGAGTTCAGTCTAGTAGGGCCAGATCAATTAAGCTCAATTAAGAATTGAGCTGAGTAGGCATTAACAAAATTTCGATTTGAGACACCTGCTTTTCATGGAGCAGAATTCAAAACTCCATATACCATCTAGGAGAAAACTTGGGCTGCTACTCAGAGGTGCCCACTGGAGCTGCCTATTCCTGTTCTCACAGAGCTCTGCTAACCTCAGGCGTATCTGAAGAGTTACATTGGCAGCAAAGCTACAGATCTCTCATCGATGCAGGCATCTGTAATATCTTCTCTGAATACAGAAGTTTTGCTACTGCTGTTGTAACTTCATGGCATAACATCATTCAAGTGCTTTCACAGGGAAAGCTAGACCTGAGTTAATTTACCACTTTAGCATGTTGGCATCTAACTAGGCACCTCCTGCTTTACCAGGATCCTGCCATAGCTTTGTAGTTTTGACATAACATTGTTTTCTAAGCCCTCCCTATTTCTTTCAGGTTTACTATTTCTTTACCTTCTGTCTCTGGTCCATTGCATTTTTCACTTTGAAATTTTGCACAATACTTTTTTTCTTGTTTTCAGTTCTGTATTATATGTGTCTGGATTTGTTTCGCTGCCAGTTTCACGTTTAAAAAAAAAACTGAAGACCTTTTTTTTCACTGCGACATTGCAGTGCTATTGATGGTGCTTCATATATGTCCATATAGCTGAACAGGTGACCTGAGCATTTAACTCACTACAGATGTAGTGAGTCTGATTTTTCTTTTTCTCTGCTTTCTGATGACATTTGTTTCTTTTACATATGTGTTCCTGAGAAAGAAAGGTTCTTGCAAGAAGAAGTCATAAGAAAATTACTCAATGAACCTTTCTTCATTTCATTTGATGATCCTCAGCCCAGATACCCTTGTTGCTCTCCCCGTTCCTTCATCATGACACTTTGTTTCAGTGTTAGCTCTTGCAGGAAACCATTCAGTTAGGGTTGTTCTGCCAAACACACTTGAAGAGTCAGTTGGAGAACTCTTCAGCTGTATAAGGGTTGGACTTTTTGCTTGTGCAGTTAAGAATAGCCATGGGGCTGTCTCATATTAAAATGTGAGCTCTGTCATCAGCCACAGAAGAAATACAAAGCCATAAGATGAGCTCCAAATAAAGCAGGGGGTTGCTGTGAAATACTTGTTAGAGAAACTTCTCTACATGTTCATTTTAAATGAAATTTAAAATTTACAATATTTCAAGGAAAAGCAGTGTTGGCCTGTGTTTGTTGTGTACTCATGACCTTTGTATGTAACCTTGGCATCAAGATGTTGAGGAAGGTTATTCCCACTGTCTGGCATTCACCTTCAGACCATGAAGCAGCACTCTTGAGTACATAGGAGACAGGAGAACACTATCACTTGGATAATATTATCTTAACCGAGCAACCGTTGCATAAACGGGGACAGGATCTGTCCTAAGTCACATCCTACTCACTGCTCATGTAGGATTTGGTTTGATACCTAGTCCA